CTTCTTCACTAATAACAATAATAATAATAGGATGACTATCAATAATATGTTATAGCCTAACCAAAATTGAAACAATCCTGAATTGTCTCCCTTTCCTAAACCCAGAGCATCCAAATGCTAAAGTAAGCAAGTGAAAATGATAGGATAACTATCAACTTCCTCATCCACTCAAAACCCACCCACCCACACCCACACCCACACCCACAATCACATAGAAAGTGGCTTATCAATCAAGGAGGCATTAAGTTCTAATTACAGTCCAGGAAATCCACCATCTCTCTGTGCAATGGAAAATCCTCATCAGTTTTGACACTACTAAAGAGAATGCTGATACGGAAGGGACTTAAGTAGGCAAACATTAGACAACAATGAGAATACTCAAAATTTTTTGAAAATCAGGGAGCCACAGTGAAAACTTGGGGTTGAAGCAACAGTTTTAGTGAAAATTAGGGAGGATAATAGGGCAACAGTTTTGGTCGGATTGGAAGTCGTAGGTCGGCTTAAGGGGTTCCAGACGAAGAAGGGTTTATACTATAACAGCAGCAATAAGAGATGAAGAGGGGAAATGGGATTGTACCTGTCTTGTTAGCATGTTTTCAAACCCCTGATCCTAGCAAGTTACCCTCGATGGTATACTTACAAAAAGGAGAGAAAGATTAGCCTATGGGAAGAAGAAGAGGAAGAGAAGATTAGGCAGGTCGACAATGGTGGAGCTGAGAGTTAGGGCTTGAAACTTCTGAAAGTTTTTATTAAAGGATTTGAAATTTCTCACAAGTGTATACATTGTGCAACACGTTTGAAGAAGACAAAAGATCATGAAAGCTTCATTTCAAACTTCTCAAAAATTTTTAAATTCGAGTTTTCGTATCTTTTACGGACTACATCTTTTTTCAAATAGATCTATCATTTACCAAACAGAAAAAACTCAAAATTCATACATCCAAACTTATAAACAGCCGAAAGCCCGTGCAAACAGACTTACCAAATTTGACCTTAGTCAATAAAACATAACAAATACACAAGTCACAATAATGCTACTTCCATCGACTTTGAAGTCAATGAAGCATGACAAATACACAACATACAATAATGTCATTATAACCGTGCGTAAGACCACAAAATGTCATTACCGTGGCCCCCCAGTGCAATTTTCGGTGGAGAGATGGATATATAGGGCGAAAAAATAAGAAGGGAAATGACCCTTATGCCCCTACTAAGTGATAGTACAATAATAGATTAAAATAAAAAGGATATAATTAGCCAAACAGACCCTAATAAACGTAATCAATTATTTTAACACCTTCAACACTCCCCCTCAAGTTGGAGCATAGATGTCAATCATGCCCAATTTGTCACACAAATCATTATTTTGCACATGATGAAGGGTATACACTTCAATGTGTTTCATCTTATCATGGAGGACTGGATTAGCTGCAATGTTGATAGCAGCCTTATTATCACAATAAAGTGACATAGGGTTGCTAACTGTAAAACCCAGTTCTCATAACAGATTTCTTATCCACATGATTTCAGCAACTCCCTGAGACATAGCTCTATATTCTGCTTTAGCACTAGACCTAGCCACCACACTTTTCTTCTTATTTCTCAATGTGACTAGGTTTTCCCCTACAAAGGCACAATATCCACTGTTACACTTTCGGACATCAACTGCCCCTACCCAATCAGCATCAGTATATACCTCCACTATTAAATGTCCAGGTTTTTGGAATAGTAAACCAGCTCCAGTAAACCTCTTGAGGTATCTGAGGATCCTCTCTGCAGCTTCAAGGTGACTTGTCTTAAGATTGTGCATGAATTGACTAAGGACACCCACTGCATAAGCAATATCAAGCCTGGTCATAGACAAATACAAGAGTCTCCCTACAAGTTTCTGAAACTTTTTCACGTCTTTTAAGAACTTTCCCTGATTGTCTCATAGATGATGGTTAGATTCAATCGGTGAGTCAATTGGTCTCACCCCTAGCTTGCTTGTATCTTCTGGTAGATCTAGTACATATTTCTGTTGGGAAATAAAAATGCCATTGTGAGAGCGGGCAACTTCAATTCCAAGGAAATAACGTAAGGGGCCTAAATCTTTCACCTCAAATTGAGTGGCTAAGAACTTTTATAGTCTATGTATTTCAGCCTCCCAATCTCATGTGATCATTATGTCATCCACATACACAATTAGAGATGCAATTTTCCCTTCGCCTTTCTTTACAAATAGTGTATGACTGATTGACATTGCTTGAACCCCATCTACTGCACTGCTGAGTGGAACTTATTAAACCAAGCCCAAGGAGATTGTTTTAGCCCATATAAAGATTTTTTTAACTTGCACAATTTTTGTTCACTGCCTTTAGCACAAAAACCTGGAGGTTGGTTCATGTACACTTCCACTTCTAAGTCACCATTCAAAAAAGCTTTTTTAATGTCCAATTGGTGAAGTTCCCAGTCAAGATTTGCCGCTAGTGAAAGGGGAATTCTGATAGAGTTCATCTTGGCTACTAGGGCAAAAGTCTCTGCATAGTCCACTCCATATACTTGTGTAAAACCTTTTGCCACTAGTCTGACCTTGTACCTTTTAATAGTTCCATTAGCCTTGCGTTTCACTATAAACACCCACTTGCACCCCATGTTTCACTATAAACACCCACTTGCACCCCATTAGTTCATTTCCTTCAGGAAGATCCACCAACTCCAAGTGCCATTTTTGTATAATGCATTAATCTCTTATTTCATTGCATCTATTCATTCAGGTTTGGATAAAGCTTATTCCACATTCTTAGAAATGGGGATACTATCAATATAGGAGATGATTGCACGATATGAAGATGAAATATGATTATAGGACACAAAGTGAGAGATAGGATGGTTAGTGGTACAAGATCTAACACCCTTTCTCTGAGCAATAGGAACATCAAGATCATTAGTGACAGGAGAATCAACAATGAGAGAAGCAGGCATATCAATAGAAGCAAGTATGTTTGGCTGATGGGAATGGATTAACCTCCGGTGAAGCCAATGATGTTGGTTGCATAGTGTCAAGTTCCATGACTCTTGAACTCTGTTAGATTTTGTGGCGGCTAAGAAAAACGCGGAATGGAGGAGGGTTAGGTAGAGGAGGTAATTGAGTATGAGCATGTTTTTCCTCAACCCTACTCTCCCCCTAAGGAAAAACCGAGAAGAAAGATTGATTTTCAAAGAAGGACACATCTATTGAGACATAGTACTTACGAGAGACGAAATCATAGCAATGGTACCCCTTTTGAAATAGAGGGTAACCAAGGAAGACATAAGGAATAGCACGAGGATCAAGTTTACCCCGAGTAGGTGACAAGTTATGAACAAAGCAACGACATCCCAAAACATGCATTAGAATGGGGACAACGGAATTGTAGTAAACAAAAACTGATGTGGGGCCTTATACTCTAGTAACCGAGAGGGCATACGGTTGATGATGTACATAGCACATAGAAGAACATCCATCCAAAAGTGCTTTAGAATATTCATATGAATAACAAGCAACGGGCTACTTCAAGAAGATGACAATTTTTTCTTTCTGCAACGCCATTTTGTTGAGGTGTCTTAACATAAGAGTTTCATTGAAGTGATCCACTCGAAGCAAAGAATTCTATGAGATCACTATGGAAGTATTCCTTTGCATTGTTCGACTGGAAAATATGGATTTCAGCTTGGAACTGAGTGAAGATGATGCGTTGAAATCTTTCGCAATTTTAGGCACTTCCTCTCTAGATCGCATAGGGTAAACCTAGGTGTATCTAGAGTAATTATCGATCAAGGTAATGAAGTACTTATATCCAACCTCAGTAGGTAGAGTAACAGGGTCCCAAACATCAGAATAAACAATATGAAACGGAAATTGGGATCTTTTATTTCTTAAAGGAAAAGAGCTTCTACAATGTTTACTCAATTGACATGTCTGACACTGCAACTGACTCACTGACAAAGACTCAAACAACTTCGGAAACATAACTTTTAACGAATAAAAAGAAAGATTATCAAGACGATTATGTCATAAATAGGCTTGACTCTCACTAGACGAATTAAAAAATTCTGTCGCCACAGTACCAACTTTATTCTCCAACACGTAGAGGCCATCTACCATACTTCCTCTATCAATCGTCTTCCCCGAGGCCAAATCCTAAAACACACATGAAGACGAATAGAGCCTGAGGTTTGAGATTGAGTTTTGCACTTTTAGGGTAGGGCCTAGGTTGACCTTTAACCTGACCCAATCCCGCCCAAATTGCACTCCTAATGCAAAGAAGACCTAGTGAATATAAGTTTCCATACGACAGAAAATTTAGGCACAACGTACACAGCATCATGCACAGGATCATTCAAATTTTAGCAAATGCTCAATTCTAGCCCACCCAAGTTGGCAGCCTTAGGGGGTGTTAATACTCTTAAGTTTGTTCATTTATCTATAGAGGCATTGTATATACAACTTGTTGATTTTTATTTCAATTAATTGCATTAGTAGTAGGACGGTAGGAGACCTGTCTCTTGCCAACAAGGTTTACCGTCACATGAAGGGTTCTGATTTCACTGGGGTTATTACTTGCATTTGGACAGTTCAAATGCATACAAAATAATACAAAAATATAAGGTTCTACATATTTGCGTTTGTACTCTTTTCAAATGAGCCTTGGGAACGAAAAACATTGAAGAAGAAGAGGGGAGAGAGAAAAAGAGGGTTTGTACTTGGGAGAAAGAGATCATTTTAAAATGAAAATGAACTAGTTTTGCGATCCAGTCACTGCCGTTAAATGTTGAATTGGACGAAATGCACTACATCGCGAAAAACTATTGGAGGGTACATGTAAGTGGTGGAGTGAAGGGTCCACCTGATATAAGCTCCCTCAACCTGGCCGGACAAACACCCTTAGGCTGTGTTATTTTCTTTTAATAATCCTTTACAACAATCCTAGTCAACCTTGCAACATGAATAATTGGAAAACTATAAAAAAAAAAAAACATAATTTATTTTCATTAACATATAATAAAAGAGCCACATACACTTATATAGACAAAGGAAAGCATAGAAAGAAAATTACAGAAAATTAATGACAATACAACAAAAATTAAGATTTCAGCTTAGCGTGGGTACAAGAGAGATGCAGTAGAAGAATTATTAGAAAACACAGCATCGGATGATGAATTTGAAGAATCACGCACACTAAATTGAGGGACACAATAAATGGGTACCGGCATCTTAGGTGGGAGATTGGGTAATGGAGCTTGGAAACTAAGAACCTGCATCGCCTGCTTTATGGAGGGTCGAAGGTTGGAATCTGGATGAGCACACCATAGCCCAACAACCATCAAACACTCCAATTGCTTTTCATCAAAACCCATATTTGTAAGTCTAGGATCTATTCCTTCAACAAGCATTTCTCTTCCGTAGAGCTCCCATACCCATTCTATCAACCTTACCTTATTTGTTTCTAGCCATGGTTCAACAGGCCGCCTTCCACAAGCAATTTCCAAAGCAACAATTCCAAAGCTATAGACATCTGACTCCTTGCTGGATTTCCCAGTTGCAACACATTCGGGAGCCATGTAACCCATGGTGCCAGCTAACACAGTTGTTTGTGCTTGTTGGCCATGGTCTACGAGTCTAGCCAACCCGAAATCTCCAAGTTTCGCATTAAAACTGGAGTCTAACATCACATTGCTTGATTTAATATCTCTATGCATGACACATTGTTCCCACTCTTCATGCAAATAGAGCAATGCAGAGGCCAAGCCAAGAGCGATATTGTACCTTAGCTGCCATGTCAATGATTCCTTCTGTCCGAAGAGATGGGAATCGAGACTCCCATTGGTCATGAACTCGTACACAAGGAGGAACTCATTTCGCTGGTGACACCAACCCACAAGTTGGACCAAATTTTTGTGCCGTAATCGACTAATGATCTTCACCTCAGACATATACTCCTTTATCCCTTGTTGAGACCGTTTGGAGACCCTCTTGATGGCCACTTCCAAGTTGACATCACTCAGAAAACCTCTATAAACACCTCCAAAGCCTCCTTCTCCAAGCTTCCGTTCCGCATCGAAGTTATTTGTTGCCCGAGACAATTCACCAAACAAGAACCTTTTAGGACCGGCTCCCTTTTCGAATTCATCATTCATAGAATCATCATCAAAAAGTGCATCCTCCATTTCTTCTGTATCCCCCTTCGTCTTCATACGAATGATAAACCATGTCATGCCCAACAAACCCATCAAGCTCCCCGCACCAACAAGCAGTCCAACGAGCAAAGTCGAATTTGCCCCCCCGTTGCGCAACGTGGAGGTGGAATTACTTCCCGTAGTTGACTTGAGTCCATCCTTCCCCACTGTGGAATTGGACACCTCTACCTCCAAACTCGAATTGAACTCCCAGTAACGAAGCTCATGTTGTTCCGTGCACCCACCAGTAGCAGCAGAGAACCCAGTAAGCACCCATTCTGGCAAGATGTCACGCATATCAATTGTATGCGAAAGGTCAGGGGTACTAGATGCAGGCTTTTTGTCATATGTCAAGAACACACTCAGATTATGTGTACTAGAATTATAGGTAATCCGAGCATCGATTGTACTTCCATTGTTGTTAATAGTACTGTTCCAGCTAGCAGTTGCCACAGACTCCACAGAGTGAACATCAATACCTACATGATTGTATGGCGGATCCCAATTTGTGTTATAATAAGTGTCGAACTCCACTGCAATGAGTTGATTTTCTGTTCTATTGTCGCACCATCCATCGGCGGCGAAACGGTTGTTACTGACAAGACCAAGACAGTTACCTGCTTCACTTTGATAGGCCAAATCATTACTCGGCGTGAGGAGGAAGAAAGCGAACCCATCACCGGTGCAGTTTGAAGTCGATGCAATGGTAATCATGAAACGGGTGGTGAAGTCTGCCAGGTTTGTTGTCTGTTTGTCCCAGATGCGCACTAAATCTTTATATGCAGCTCGACCTCCGAGACTCGGTTGGTCAACGGTCAGTGTAACCCCATTTCCGTTGAAGGATGCATTGCCATCCAACTTTAAGATGTTTCGGGACTTATTGTCAGAACCGGAAAAAATGAAGTATAATGAACCTGAAGAAGGGATTAGCAATAAAAAGGAAATGAAGAAAAATTGAAATAAAACCAAACGAAGCTTTGGGGCTTGGAGAAGCAAACTTCTTAGATAGCAGAGAGCCATTATCCGAAGCCTGCTTGTTTAGAAGCTTTAGATAGAGGTCACCGAGAAATGACCCCTTTACTGTTGATATATAAATATCAACGTTGACCCGACCACGTACTCTGCACGCCCATTAAAATGTTTCCAGATGCAATTAATTTAGGGAGAAGTACCGATCAGCCCAGTTCAGAGTTTACTAGCCACGAAGTACACGCGGAATGCTTCTGACTGTGAATTGATTGCAAATTCATGGGCAGAATGTGATTTAAAGGGGGAAGAGGGTTAATTGTAGGGGGTGGCTGGAATTCAGAATTCTGCATCGTATGTATTCATACTTTTTTCATTAATTTATCGAGAAAAAGACAGATTCAATGCAGATTTCTGATGCAGATCTATAAATATTTAAAATGGTAATAATTCATGCATTAATATTTCTTATAAATTAACATTAATTCTGATATCTACTCCAACAGTATTTTATATCTATAAATTTTGACTTTGGACTGAACCGTCTTTTTCCCATAATTGACTATTGCATTTGATAATTAAAGTCCTTTTTAAGTGTCACTATCCCAAAGCATATGATACCATGGATTTGGAGATCTCAGGTTTTGACTTGGTAGTTAAGGGGTGGGATGACAGTAACAATTGAGGAAATGGAGTTGTAGTGGTGATGGGTGCACTATGGGCCTCAATTGTAACCACGGGTGGAGATTGTTCAAGGGAGGCATGAGGTTAAGGTAAAGTAGAAACAGGGAAATTTAACATTGGGTCCACTGGGGGGAGCAGGCATAGTGGGGGCTAAATGAGGAGGTGGAGGCCCACAATTAGTGAATGGAAATTCTGATATGATTTATGAAAACTTACGTGTGCCTGGAGGCATACTATTTTGCAGTGGGGTATGTGAAGGCATTTAAAGCCACGATAGTGAGGGTTATAACCTGATGGAGGGTGATTTGACCCGATCTCGTAGCACGGGTACACGTAGGTGGTGGGTTTGTGAAGGCATACTATTTAAGTTTAAATATTTTGAACAAACAAACTAAACCGAAATAGACCAATATTGATATAACCCGAGTTGGTGGGTTTTCTCTAGTGGTCAATCAGTTTCGAGTGACAAACTACAGACTTAACCAGATCGATTTGGTTGGCGAAACATCTTGCAACTGAACTAAACCAATCATTGAACACTCCTAATTTCAACTAAATTTATAGTCTAATCTCAAATAAATAACAATAGTTTAATCTCCAATAATTATTACAAATTTATATCAAATGTACACAATCATTGAAAATAAATTTATAATGAAAATATAATAGATATATAATAAAAGCAAAATAATTACAAAAATATAATAAATCAATCAATAAATAGTGTAATCTTAAAAAATAGTTTAATATCTAATAAGTATTAATCTATAAATTATAAAAAAATATATAATTAGTAAAAATAAACTTATAACAAAAATACAATAAATATGAAAAATTAAATTTCAAAAGTTAAATTATAGATGCTTAATATCCAATAATTATTGATAATCTTCTATTAAATAACAAAAATAAAAATACATTTGTAAATAATTATTGAAAGCATATTTATAATGAATATACACTATTATTATAAAATTTTTACTAATAAATATAACTTTGTTGATAGTTATTTTCTATAACTATTAATTGATATAAGTGAAATTAGTTATTTACAATATTACTTAGTCATTGAAATAATATTTTTATTTTAATATTTAAAATATTAATTATTTATTGAATCTAATAATCAATAAACTTATAATTGTACTATTATTACATAATTCATTATTAATTTTGTAAAATATTAAATTATTATCAATATGAACATTGCGAATTCTGTTATAATTATTTTTCTACTTTAAGAATTTTTTAAATTTTTTACATAATTTTGTTATTTTAACTATTTAAAATTTTGTCATGTTTAATATTTTGTTATTTAAATATTTATATAAAATGTATAATATTTAAAAATTTTCATTATTTGAATTTATTTATTTTAATGTTATTATGTAATATTAAATATTTTGTTATATTACTTAGCTATTTTTAATGTTTTATATTTGAGATTTTTAGTTATTGAAATATTTAAATAATGTTTTATTTTTTAATGTTAAAGTTTTATTATTTGAATGACATTTAAATTGAATAATTCATTAAATTATAATTTATATTGTTACTACATAATTTCATGATGCATTTTGTAAAAATATTGAATTATTAATAATATGAACATTATTAAATCTTTTAACGTTTTTCATGCATTGGTGAACTGTTTCCCCCTATGGTTGATTGATGTACATCCTACATGGTGCTTACCTGTCAGCACATACATACCAAACAACATAGTATTGCTCACTGGCCATGTGGCAGAAGCATTTTTTTGTGTAAAACGGGTCTTGGAAGAATGGGCGTTTTTTCTTGAAAATCGGTTTCAAAAGTGCCTACGTTTCCAAACATGATGTTATTATATAATTTCGTTATAACATTTAAATAGTTCTGAATTTTTTTAATTGAAACTTTCTTTAGATAGATATAGATAAAAAGTGGGGGCGAGGATAAATAGGAATTAGAGATAGTTTAGGAAAGAATTTGTTTACTAAATTAGAGATAAATAGGAGTTAGAGATAATTTAGAAGATAAATAGGAACTACGACGATTTAAGAGGAAGTGGGGGAAAGTGGTGCCAATTAGCTAAACATTAGAAAAACAAATCCCTCTTTCTTTATGATTGTTAAAAATAATTAAACATATATGATTTATTTATTGATTTAATTAGTAATTATGTAAATATAAAAAAATTAAAAAAGAGAATTTGGAGCAAGGAAAAATATGATAACGTGAACAAACCAATTAATGTATATATAGATAAGGATCCAAATTATAATAAAATTGATCTCTTCGACGAAAATTAGTAGATGGGGGAGAAAAAGACAAGTAGAAGAGAGACCGACAAACTTGGAATTGTATATTTTATTACCTCAACTTATCCTTATGAGCAACCGACCAACTCCAGTCTATCTTTAATACCCGTCCAGCTGCCATCCTACACTGTCAACTACTCTCTATCCATTTGATGAAAATTTTTAAAGAAGAAAAGAAAGTGAAAAGACAAAAAGCAATTAATGAAAGTTAGAATTAAAAGAAAGAAAAAAACAAAAACAAAAAAAAAAATTCATGGAAAATTCTAAGTTCAAAATAATTGGAGGTTTGCCAGATATTCAACCCGACCTATCTAATTCAATTGGGCTTCATTATTGACAAGCAACCAGCCAACTAACGATTGTATCATTTTCTTTAGTTGTTACTCGTCGTTTGTGATCATTGTATATGCATCTTTATCAGCTATTACACATCTTCTGTCATTTCTCTACATTGCTACCTAGTCAAGATGGGTTCCATGAAAGCTTTGCGAAGATGGAAGGAAAATTCTAAGTTCAAAATAATTGGAGGTTTGCCAAATTCGAATATTCAACCCGACCTATCTAATCAATTGGGCTTCATTATTGACAAGCAACCAGATTCGAATATATGGATGCTTTTAATATTCATGTTTTAAATTTATAGGTACCTTGAACTTTTAGAAATATTCACTTCAATCCAATTCTACTAAAACTGACATTACAATAACAGTAAAATTACAAAAAATGTCAATGTTTAAGTTGGTTTTCAAATTTTCACCTTCAATCTACCTAATTTAAATCATATATGCTGAATTTGAAAGCATAACTTAAACCTTTTTACTATTTTATTGTCCTTTGTTTTACTCCTTCCATCTTAAATAATCTCTGCTTTTTTTCACCAAACCCAAAAAGCATTTCAATGGAAGGCTAAAAGCAGTGAAAAAAAAAGAAAATTTGAATACTTTAACATTAAAAAATAAAACATTATTTAAGTATTTCTAAAAAAAAGAAAATTTTAAGGGAGCAGGACTCAAAAGCATATTTCTAAAAGCTTTAGGATACTAAAATGTCCCACTTGAGAGTTCAGGCCTTTAAGTGGATAATCATTCCCGGTTTCTTCTCTCTTGGGAATGTGAATTCCATTGTAGTTGATTTTCATTCCAGTTCTGATCTACATCTCAACCAAACAGATGGGGGAGAAAACCATTAGCATTTCAATGTCAAGGGATGCCAATTTTGATTCTTACTAATCAATGGGGCCCTTAGTGTGACAATTGGAGTTAGAGTTATAGTTGCAGGTGATGGTGCATGTCCTATAAATGAACTTAGGTTGCTTGCGTTTTTCTCATAAATTTTTCTTTTGCTTACTTTATTTTCATGATGTAACATAAGACATAGCAAATCAAAGAAAGAGTAATTAGGATTTTCAAAAACTTAGCTCTGCAGCATGACGTTACATTTTAACAGACACGGATAGATAATAGGTGAGGTTTAAGTCTTTTACAATTATTATTCATGTCCCCACTTAGAAAGATGAGAAAATAAAACAGACATATCGCTTTGTGAAACTCACTGGAATTTTCCTTAGCTTCTATATGTCCTTACCATGTGCGTAGGTTAAAAGTCCTTTTGTTTTTCAGTTTTAAGGGTGAAAGTTAACAAGTCAATGTTAACTTTATATAAGGAATTTTGTGGATATGAAAAAACATAATTTATTCAATATTTAAAATTCAAATTAGTGAAAGTTTATTCAGTCAATGGAATTGAAAATTGGGGCGATTTATGACAAAAAAAAAAAAAAAAAAAACATTGAAATAAATGATTCAGCAAGGAAGCCAAACTTAGTGGTTTAAATGCTAAATCTATCAGTAAAAAATATGAACATCAAATGACCCTAAAGATATCTTGTGTAGAAAATAGTCTTAGTATCAATGATTCTATATATTTATTTGAAGTATTTAACCATCATGTACATTATTAATTTCATTCTCAGACTATTGAAGCTTCAACAGCAAAGCACCATGTTAAGATGCATGTTGTAAATGGCTAATGCAACATCTTTACGACCATTGGCATGATAAAGCATTAAGTTACCATTGAAAGAGCTATAGGCGCATTTTTTCTTCCCTCCAAAAAAACCAGTTGTAATATGTATTTGCAGGTTCATTCATATCTTAGGGTTTGTTTGGCTTGTGGGTATAAGGGTCTAGAATTGGAATTAGAATGCCCATCTAATTCTAATTGTTTGGACAGGTAGAACTATAATCCCGATCTCATTCTTACTAAAATGGTATTCCCCCATTTGAGGGAATAATCATTCCCAGCTTCTCCCTCCTCTGAGAATAAGAATCCCATTGTAGATGATTTTCCATTCTGGTTTTGATCTACATTGGAGCCAAACAGATGGAGGAATAGACCATTAAGATATCAATGTAGAGAGATTTCAATTCTGATTCTGACTAATCAAATGGGCCCTTAGAGTGATAGTTGGAATTAGAGTGATAGTTGTAGTTGATGGTGTCCTAGAATTAAGATTAGATTGCTTGGGTCTTTCTCGTAAAGTTTTCTTTGATTTATTGTATTTTCATGATGTCACATAAGACAACAAATCAAAGAAAGGATATAATTAGGATTTTCAAAAACTTAGTTACGCAGCATGATATTACATTTTAACAGACAGACATAAAAGAAGGTTTTTGTCTGCTGGCATCATCCCAATAGAACTATAGAAGTCAAGTCCAACTCGAAAAGTAAAGATATGTTTTATTATTTAGGTAGAAAGTCCAACTTGGCGTCATCCCTTAGTGTGACCATTGGAATTAGAGTTATAGTTGCAGGTGATGGTGTCCTACAAATAAACTTGGGTAGGCTTGGGTTGAGAATTTGTTAAAATTTGGAAGAGGTCCAATTAAAAGACTTAATTAGCATATTTGAAGAAAATAGAACACAAAAAGGTCTTTTGACAAAATCGAATAGAATGGCCTTTCTAAAGGATTTTCTTTATATTTAGTTAAATATTTCAATTATTTAATAAAGTGCTTCTTCCTCCTGTGATTTAACTTAGATATTGCAATATTGAATATAATCCTACAAAGAGTTTATATTACAGATTAATCCCTGAAGCCAAAAAGGAAAAAAAAAAAAAAAAAAAAAAAGAAGATTAAACCCAAATAAGCAGAAAAACAAGTATGGAGCATAAAGTGAAGGTCTAGTCCATGAGCCTTTGGTCATCTTTGTTAGTTCAATTTTTGAAATTGTTGTTTTAAATTAGTTATTGATCTTATGTTAAGCACATTTTTGGCTATATAAAACCAAATAAGTTTGAAGCTCAATAACTAAATAAGGAAAAGAAATTTATTTTTCTACTATTTTATATTTAAAGAACTAGAAATATATAAAAACTTTGGGGAATCAATATTATTTCATTTTTTCCTTACAAATACATTTTAAAAAAATGGCACATGGATCGCACGGGTCACAGCTAGTTTAGCTAAGAAACAGAAACTTGTAAATTACGATTCAACAAGGATTTGAATAATGTCACCTTGTACAAGGTTGATTTAACACACTTTGCAAATTGAGGTAGAACCTACCCCTAATGTAGCTTTCAAGATGATGGTTCAATGTTGCGATGAAGAGACCAAATTAACCACTGACATTGATGTTGTGGGTTGGTGTTGTTTGATGGAAAGCTAAGGCAAACTCAATCAGTCATGGACAGTAGAAAAGTGAGAGAGAGAAAGAGAGAGAGGGGCAGGAAGACAATGAAAAAACGAAAGAGGAGAGGAAAAGGCCCTAATTTGCACTTGATTTATTAGTAGTAATGGCTATACCTATAGCAGAAATTTTAAATGACTATTTCTATACAATATTATCTTAAAATTCCACTCCGGTTCAATTTTACATAGATTTGGATGGAGTGGAGTTTTACGTCGATAATCAATGTAAAACTTGATTAGGTCTAAAGTTTTACATCGATAATTGATATAAAAACTACATCGATTTTATTGATGTAAAACTTTACACTCTTCCATCCATCGCTATTTTCAAAAAACAACGGTCACTTTCATGGTTCGATGTAGAACACCATCGATGTATTTTTACACCGATAATATTTTACACTGATTCCAAATGCAGCCTTATAGTGACATTCGCCCTATAGCCACTTTCTCAACTGCTGCTATTTCCCAAATTTGTAGTATATGAACACCAAGTTATCGACTTGTTAGACCGAGCAACCAACAATGATATTGTGGCTTTGTTCCTTGCTTAATGAGTTGGATGTTCAATTGCTTACACTGCCTTTGATTTGGTGTGATAATGTCAGTGTTGTTTGCTTCACTAAGGCAGTCGATATGTTTCATCCTTGTCTCTTTGCATCTATGTTGATAACACTTATCTATTGTATTCTAGTATTCTATTATAACACTTACAAGAGCCATGCATTATAAATACAACAGCCAAATAAACGTCTAACTCACTGGGTTTTCTCATATTCTTATTGTCATTATACCAGATGATGTTTAAAACAACATTTGAATATGTCAATTGTCAGGTAAGTAAGCACAAAATACAAGCCATTTATTTTTTCAGATAAAGAGCATATACACTCGGGGAGGAAAACAATAGAAAAAAAAAAAAAAAGACAACTTACATTGTTTTATTCCAAAACCACATACATGCACCCAAGGAAAAGAAAAGAAATAAACCGATTGAAAACATACAACATAGGGTTCCAACTTAGCGTGGATACAAGATTGATGTAGTGGAAATATCAGCAAAAGAATAATTATTAGCAGATGGTGGATTCGAGACATTATGCATATCCAGTGTAGCCGCATAATTGGTAGGCACAGGCATCTTAGGTGGGAGAGTGGGTAGTGGAGCTTCAAAACTAAGAACCAGCATCACTTGCTTTATGGAGGGTCGGAGGTTGGAATCTGGATGAGCACACCATAGCCCAACAACCATCAAACACTTCAATTGCTTTTCATCAAAACCCATATTTGTAAGTCTAGGATCTATTCCTTCAACAAGCATTTCTCTTCCGTAGAGCTCCCATACCCATTCTATCAACCTTACCTTATTTGTTTCTAGCCATGGTTCAATAGGCCGCCTTCCACAAGCAATTTCCAAAGCAACAATTCCAAAGCTGTACACATCTGACTCCTTGCTAGATTTCCCAGTTGCAACACATTCGGGAGCCATGTAACCCATGGTGCCAGCTAACACAGTTGTTTGTGCTCGTTGGCCATGGTCTACAAGTCTAGCTAACCCAAAATCTCCAAGTTTTGCATTGAAGTTTGCATCTAACATCACATTACTGGATTTAATATCTCTATGTACGATGCATTGTTCCCACTCTTCATGCAAATAAAACAACGCAGAGGCCAGTCCAAGAGCTATCTTGTATCTTACCTCCCATCCCAATGGTTCCTTCTGTCCAAACAGATGGGAATCAAGACTCCCGTTGGGCATGAACTCGTATACGAGGAGCAGCTCCTTTCGTTGGTGGCACCAACCCACAAGTTGGACTAAGTTTTTGTGCCGTACTTGACTAATGATCTTCACCTCGGACATGTATTCCTTTATCCCTTGTTTAGACCTTTGAGAGATCCTCTTGACTGCAATTTCCATATTTAGATCACTCAGAAAACCTTTATAAACCCCTCCGAACCCTCCCTCTCCAAGCTTTCGGCCCTCTGCAAAGTTATTTGTTGCACGAACCAACTCACCATACAAGAACCTTTTTGGTCCGATTCCCCTTTCAAATTCTTCATTAATGGAATTGCCAAAGACCATATCTTCCTCCTCTTCTTCTTCTTCTTCTCTTTGCCTTTTCCTCTTGATCCACAGGATGAAAGAAATCACACCCAAGCCACTCATACTTGCCCCAACAACCACTCCAACCACCATTTTTGTCTTCCAATTCGTTCCCCCACTCGAATCAGACGACTCTACTTGTAAACTCGAATAAAAATACCAGGAGCGAACCACATGAAGCTCACCTGTTCGACCTGTGGAACCAGAGAACCCAACCATAACCCATTCCGGTAGGTAATTCTTCAGATCAACTTTAAAAGAGAGGCTAGAAGTTGGATTGTCAGCGTAGGTCCAGGAAACACTCAAGTTTTTTGTACTAGAGTTATAGCTAATATTAGCTATAGTCATTTTCCCATCCTCGAAGCTAGTACTAGTCCAGTTAGCAGTTGCTACTGATCTAGCTGAGTTGATGTCAATACCTACATGATAGGGTATAAAGCTCCAATTGTCTTCTGAGGGTACTGGGTCCCATTCATTTCCATAAGTATCAAACTCCACGGCAACAACTTGATTTTCTAAAGGGTCGAGTTCGCTGTATTGTTTAAAAATACCCATATTGCAGCATTTAGAAGGCAAGGCGGAACCATTGGGAGCGAGGAAGAAGGCCATTCCATCAGCATATCTTTCGTCATTTAATGAATCAATGTAAAAAGAGAATTGAGTGGTGAAGTCTGTGAGCGTTCCTGTTTCCTTGTTCCAGAGACGCACCGGGTCTCTGTATGTAGCTCGGCCACTACTCCATTCGATTTCGTTGAGTTGGATGTCTTGGCTGGCTGAGATCTTTGCATCGCGTTCCAAGTTTATTGAATCTCGTGCTTTATCATCGAAGCTGGAAAAGTTAAAGGAAATTGGATTTGAAAAGGGGATTAGCAACATGAAGAAGATGAAGATCTGAAACAGAGCAGAAGAAATTTCCGAGAATTGGAGACACAAGTTTCTTGAATAGGGGAGAGCCATATTGTTGAGAAAGAGTGTTATACATATTAGTTTACATATATATAACCTTTTTTTGGTGAAATGTTCACATATATTAGCTCTGTTACATAAAATATACTCGTATCATTGGGCCACTGTGTGTATAAACTATATTTTAAAATGCAGTTGAATATATCAGCTACTCACTTTTTTTCCCATTCCCTTTAGATTTGCACTTCAAAAAAAAAAAAAATCCCTTTGGAATTTGGTGGTTTTTTATTATAAATACAGCTTTACTCTCCTAGCTCCAAACCCCCCCTTCCTAATTCTCTCTCTCTCTCTTTTAATCCACATCATTTTTTAAACATCGATCAAGAGAAAAATAATCTATACATTCTCCAATGAGTCTTGGGATAAGAGATAATTAAATGCTTCTTTTATTTTTCTTTATTCTATTTTGGAAATTTGTCTAAAATTCACCATAACTTTTCAGCATTTCTATTAAACGCAGTGACTTTTTTAAAGTTTATTTAAAATGTATTAAATGATAGATTTTGAAAAACTATTAAAAAATTGTGTATTTTTCATTATAAATTATAGAAAATTATTAAAGATAAATTAATATAATGTTGGAAAAAGGATATTACTGATTAGTATATATTAGATATAAAAAAGTAAAAATATAGAAAATACAAAATATTTGTTCTCTGATTGTCTGTTTTACTTTTATTTCTATTTTTGTTATCTTGATTTCTTTTTGCTTTATTTTTTGTTATCATGTTTTAAAAGTTCGCATATTGAATTATCGCATTTTATAGTTTGGGAACCAAAGTGAAAATAAACCCAATATACAAGGTACTAATCGGGAATTTTCCCTTGATCATATTAGACTTGGATGTTAAAACTTGTATCTGTTTTGTAATTGAAACCAATGCTGATTTGACCCATTCAATATAATAAAAATCAAAGTCCGATTACATGTAGTCATTGTAATGTAATGATACATATATATATAACAATGTTATATATAATATTTTTTATCTTTTATTGATAGTAAAGCGGGGCTGGACTACATCTAAATCGGACCCACCCAATTTCTGCCCTAATCATGGTGTTTTATATTTTATTATTAATTTCATCAATTTGCTTAAGAATTAAATATATACGGTTTCAAAAATTAATTACATGTATTTTTTTAAGGTGGCCAACATGAAGCTCTCTTAGTAGGTATTGTTTGGGTTGGATGCCGTTTTTTAGAAAACGGTGTCACATCAGCGTTATATCAGAAATTCATTTTTTGAGAAACGCCTACTATTTGGTAAGCTATTTTTCCGAAAAATGTTTTTTTTCAGATAACACATTGGAAATTAAGAAAATCTAAGAAAATGTTTTTTTTTTTTGAAAAAATAATATGCTTGTGCAGCACCATTTTCTGAGAAAACGTCTCTCAGGAAACAGCATCGATCCCAAAAACCGCCTTAATAAAACGTTTAGGGCTGTTTATAGTTATGATAATTTTTCCTGTAATTTCAAATTTACCCTTTGAATCTGAAAATACTGTTCATCTTCTTCAAACCTCTGAACCGAAAGCCTAGACTATTTCAATTTTCAAATGCTGATTCTGAACCAAATACCTGTTTCTTTCTATTGCAAATGTTGTTTCTGGACCAAATACCAGTTTCACTGGCTGATCTAGCGATCCAACTGTCCATGTGACGAAGAAAGAAAGAAGGCCAAGAAGTTGATAAAGAATGTAGAAGAGTTGAGAATTCGTCCCAGAGAGACATATATAGTTCATGCAGATGCAGTCTTAACTTGTTTGAAGTTTCTAACGCTTGCGTTTGCTGATGGAACTGTTCAAGAGTACTATTTGCTTCCAAGAAGTATGCCAAACACTAGAGACATCTTGGTGAAACTACAGCTCGGTGTTGGATTCTTGTCATCCCTTTTGTTCACCATCTTGCCCTGACCGAAGCCGAACTCACTGAACCGAAAACATTGCTTGAGAAGTCTGAACAACCACCACAATTAATGGAGGGTAGAAAAACTGAAAAAGAACTTGGGCTACGGGTAAAGCAACAACTAGTATAATATTTCCCTACAATCAATTGGGGCTTCGGATTAGCATGAACACTTTGAAACATTTGATAAAGTTTTTTCTTTTTTTTTTACATTGCTTGTAACTTGTAAATGATAGAAATGGATGAAAGTCGTTAATGGTATGGTCTAATTTGTTGGGAACAAGAGGATCATTACTTCATTGATAAGGGTTGTTATCTATTGGTCATTTCTCGTCATATGAAAATCAGAAATTGAGAGTAGTGCATTTAGGCTATGTTTGGTTTGAAGGAAATTAAAAATCCTTTCCATACTTTTTTCCTTCATATCAAACACAGCCTTAGTGTTGATCCAGAGCCCCTGAACTTCATTTTCTTACTTAAGACTGCTCATACCAGTAGATGCCGTAGGAACTTCATGTGGGGCACTGCATGGTTTACGTGAAACCCACTTACCAGGTAGTAGGGACATAGAGATGTGCATAATTTTTTTATAATTCTTTTATTTTCTATGTTTGTCCTTTATTTTTATCTATGTTTTGAGTTTTAAATTTATGGGTGGTTCTAAAATTTCTACCCCATTTCATAATCAACTATAAAAATAATTCTTGTTTATGATAAATGTATAATATTTGAGATATATCATTTTTTTATGATTTTTTTTGTATTTTTTATTTTTATTATTTAATTTTGATATCATTGGTTGACCCATTTTATCCACACATTTGGACCTTTGACCCGCCATTTAGATGGAAATAAGTATTGTTTTCAAAAGTTAGCTTTATTTATTTTTTGTTACATTTTCATCATTGATAAAAGTAATAATCATTTATTACAATTATTTCTGTGATTACAATAAAAAGAGACCAAATTCAAATAGTCAAGAAAATAATCCAAAAGCCATGGGGAGATATTCCTACTTTTTATAATAGTATAGATGGATGGATAGATAAATGATTTGATGTCTATCTATACTAAGGGCAAATTGTCAAAAACAGTAGAGATATATTTAGTCAATTTCCTAAACCTTAAGGGCAGTTTAAAAAATTTGCCCTTTATTAATTTGCTGTATTTAATACTTAGCCCTACATCTGTGTTCATAGCAGATTTCAAGTCAATTCTAGACCATTCAGGCCATATATATTTTGGGGCTACCTAATATTAATATTAATATATAAAAGGTTGGACCTTGATACCAGAAAATCTTGTAATAATAAATAAACCAATATCATAAAAGTGGTAATCAATCAGCTGTTTTATTTATTAATTAATTAATTTATTTATTTATTTAATTCACCCAGAGATGTAGGGGCTTTGATTATCATGTCTTTCCAAAAAATCATCTGCCAAAAGTGTCCCAAGTAAATGGGGCCGGCAACATGAATCATGTTTTGCCTTTCTATTTAATACCATTTATCCATTGTTTGTCCTAGCATTAGTACGAGACAAATCAGGATCTATGTCATTATTCATTAGAGTTTAGGGTCTGTTTGGTTTTTAGTCGGAATCAGAATCGAAATGGTCCATTCCCATAGTTTGTTTGGTTCAGACAGAAATGGGAATGGGAATTAAAATCAGCAGGAATGAGATTTCATTCCCAAAAAAGGGGCAGGGAATAGTCATTCTTTCAAATGGGAGAATGTCATTCCAACAAAAATGGGAATGAGATTCTGATTCCGCCCAACCAAATAGTTGGAATCGAAATAGCCTATTTCAATTCTGATTCCAAACCCCTATTCCAGCAAACCAAACGAACCCTTAATGTAAGACAAACTCGGACTGATAGAGTTTTTAATATGCCGTTCAATTGCTGCATCCGTTTATTATGAGACCTGTTTAATAAATTAATGCATCTTTCTATTATTAACCCACTACAATAAAGTTGCTTTTTTAAAGCCCAATAAAGCACAAAGCAGTCGCGTTTGATAAAAGATGACATCTCCAAGATACAAAGCTTTTCCAAGATAATTTCGATTCAAAGATCAGCCACAAACAAAATATCTACAATACCCTCCATATTCACCCACCAATTATTCCTGTGACTTTTTAGGTTATGTTTGGTTTGAAGGAAAAAGTAGGGAAAGGAAGAGAAAGATATGAAAACTTATATGTATATTTGTAAAGGTTTTCTCTGACTTTCTCTTCCTTTCCCTATTTTTTTTCCTTCAAACCAAACACAACCTTAATTTTAAACCACCAAACGTGATACACGATCTAACATCCAACCTGATTATATTATTATATTATTGGACTTTGGATACGATAGTACTTGCTTCTGTCCAGTAATCCGATCCAATGCTGATTTGACCCATCAATATGTAATGTAATGAAGTATATTAATAGTAAAGCAAGCAGAACCGAACTAAATCCGAATCCGACCCGATTGCTACCTTAATCATGGCAGGCCTTATATATTTTATTATTAATTTCACCAATTTGTTTAACCCTATCTTTCCATGAAATTGGAGGATATGTTGACCTCTGAGTTTGACAAGTCAAGGAAAAGAGAAATAACCACCTCCTACATGGCGACTGGCGAGTCTAGAAAGAAAGAACACAAGAAAAAGAAGTGTTATCTTTTAATGTGTTATCTCACACTCCATGAAAAGATGTCTTTGAGTTCTTGACTTCACCATTTCTTCCTCTTCAGGACTTCTCTATATAAACGCCTTATTGTGTTGAACAACTCAACTTCTGCACATCAACTCATTCAAAATTGCCACCCTCCCACTAAAAATGCCCATACCCATTTGTACTATCCACTTCCGCTTCCAGATTCACTACTCAGAACCTTGCAAATATCAAAATTAACCATTCTCTCTCTCTCTAGATCTCTTTCTCTCACAGAGGTTATCTTTGTTATTTTATACATATAAAACATGGCAAATGCTCCTAAGAAGGATGAGAAAGGGATTAATCCAGCAGAAAGCCCAGAAAAAGGTGTTGGAGACGGTAGACTCATTGAAAGGCCTTCAGCAACCATCCAATATGTTCAAATTTGTTTTAATTTAGATTAATTCTAACCCAAATCTGGTCCATTAACACCTATATTCTTATCTTCTATCAATGGATCAGCGGCTCAATCCAA